AACCTAGGATAACGTTTCTCACCATGGGAACCATCTGCAAAATCAGGGGACTTAACCAGATTATCTCTAAAGTTCCCCCTCATATGCTATGATTCTATGAGAAAGTTTGATGCTGGAGAAGAGGTCGAAACTATTACTTAATGATGAGAGGTGGAGTCAAGATGGCAGACTAAGAGGAAGAAGTAGTGACCCCCTCAATAACTCCTTCAAAACGGGTCTGAAAATCTATCAAGCTGTATCTTGATTGGGAAATCCTAGGGGAAAAAAAATCGATGAATCACTTTTCTAAACTGAGATCAACATAGGGAGAGGCAGAGAGGTCTGTGGATACGGGACAGGATTTGGCCAGAACTGAACCAAAGAATTCCAGTGCCCCAGAACTGTGCCCAAGGTCAAGATGAGGTCCATGGCAATATGGAGGGTGACATCATGCAGGTTACAGGTCTGTGACCCACTACCATATCCAGAATGGACTAGGGAAGGGACCTGTGCCTAGGGGTAGCATTTTGGGGTGAGAAGTAGCAGTAGTGGGCCCTAGCCTGTGTACGAAGGAAGAAGTTCAGAAGTGAGCAGCAGCAGAGTGGCTTAGACTCCAGCAGTGGAGTGGGGTGTCAATTCCATCTTTCAGTTCAAACCGAAGCCTGCAGAAGAATAACTAGGGCAGGAATCCCATACCAAACGGAAGACTATAGTTCTGTCCCTCCAATTCAGCAGACTTTTTCAGTTGGCTGCCAGTGTTTGAGTCCAGCAGGAGTCTACTGTTACTCAGACCCGAAGTCAGGTGAGGAACTTGCAGAACGCAGATTAGGGGAGTAGTGTTCAAACTTTGCCCTAGATTAGATTACTCTAAACAGTGAAAGCTTGCAGGTCCTTAGCTTGAGCTGTCCTGGAGAACCTAGAGAAACATAATACTTAATACCTCCAAGAAAGCAGCAACAGGATCAGCCCCTACTTTTCCCCTAAAAGTGTACAGAGCCTGATCCTAGCATAAAGCCTAAATTAAAGAAGCAGGCTGGAAAGATGAGCAAACAAAAAAAGAATCTCACCAAAAATTTAAAAAAAAAATGACTCTAAAATCTCTATAAGCAAAACCTCAAAGAAAAACATGGCATAGGCACAAATCAACTAGAATTCCTGGAACAGATGAAGTAAAAGGTAAAAATGGATGATAAATAAAAGAGCACCAGAGGAAAAACTGGAAGAGAAATGATAGCTATGGAAGAAAGAATTGGAAAGGGAATTAACAGCTTGGCACAAGAGGCACAAAATCTTTCCCAAACAACAAAACTCTCTGAAAATTAGAATATCAGAAGTTAATGACTTCATTAGAAAAAAAATCCTAAGAAATATTAAGACAAAGTTGTAGGACTAAAAAAAAATGAAGAAAATGTAAACTATTTTATAGCAAAGACAGCCAATCTGGAAAACAAGATTACAGAGAAAAAATTTAAGAATCACTGGACTACCACCTAAAGTCATGACCAAAAAAAGACCCTACACATTACATTTCAAGAAACCATAAGAAAAATTGCCCAGATCTCTTAAAATCTGAGGGCAAAATAAGAATAGAAAGAAATTTGGAAGAAACTCCAAAACAACTTTTAGAAGTACTGGATTTTGGCCAGAAATGTTCCTATGTTAGAAAAAATACTTCAAGCAGCCAGAAAGAATTCAGGTACCAAAGGGCCAAAATTACAATCACACACGATTACCCTTCAAAGGACTAGACAGCCAGAAAAATGCTATTCCAGAAGACAAAGAATACAGGATTATATCCCTTAAGTAACAATTTGCCCAGCAAAACTGAGTAAAATCCTATAGGGGGAAAATGACTTTTAATTAAACAGAAGACTTTCAAGCTTTCCTGATGAAAAAACCAGAGTTGTGAGTCAAGAGAAACATAAAAAAAGCAAACACAAATTAACCATGACAAAATACTACAAAAGGATAAACTGCTTACATTCTCTCATGGAGAGATGATGTATCCCCCCTGAATCACATCATCAGTAGAGGTCACAGAGGGAGTCTAATTAGAAATGGATCTGAGAGTGATTCTGATATGTCTTGATAATCTTAAAAGAATGGAAAGAGAAGGGAAGAGGAATGGAGAAGAAAAAATAAGGTTAGGGGAAATTAGTAAAGTGGCAAGTAGACATTTTCCAAACAAGGTGAAAAGGGTGAGGAGAGTGACTGACACAAATCCCACTCTGATCTGGCCTGGTCAAAGTAGGGAAGAATACAAACACACACACACAACTGGGTAAAGAAATACATTTCACTTAACTGGGAAATAAGGGGGAAAGGGAACAGGGGTTAAGAGAGGAATTAGTCCTGAGAAAACAAGTTCTAAGGAGGTACAAAATATTTTTAGTTCTTTTTGATGTGGTAAAAAGTGGAAAGGGGGGGGTACCCATATTTTGGGGAATGGCTGAACAGGTTCTGTTACATAAATGTCATGTATGCTATTATGCTAAAAGAAATAATGAACAGAGCATGGTTTCATAAGAACATTGGAAGACTTGTATGAATTGATACCTTGAACAGAACCAGGAGAACAATTTATACAATAATAATACCATAAAGGCAAACATTTTTGAAAGATTTAGGAACTCTGATCAGTGTAATGCCCAATCACAATTCCATGGCCAGTGATGAAACGTTATACCTCTTGAGAGGAGAAAGATTATGAAGTGCAGAATGAGACATATGTGTGTTGTATATATACAAGCTCTTTTTCCTTTCAGACGTGGCCAATGCTTAAATTTGTTTTGATTATACATATTTGTAAAAGGTTATGTTTTCCATTCATTCTCAATTAGGGTTTGGAAAGGGATACGGTGGATTTTTATTAGAAAAACATTTAACTTTTTAAAAAATTAATGGCGAAGTTTTGGGATTATCAATGGCTTCCAACTGCTTATGTTACATATTGCCATAGCTAATTAGGACCTGACTATGTTTTTCCCTAAGCTTTTATTTAAAAAAACAAAGACACAAAAAACCAAAAAACACCAACCTCCCCCCAAAAAAAACCCCAACCCAACAACAGCAACAACCTACTCAGGAGCTCCAACAGGACTAAAGTACAATGGAGACCAGTTTATACTCTTAGCATGGAGACCTGACATATATTAATCAAAATATTCTGATGCAATCTCTAGTTTCAGTTTCAAACCTCTAGATGAGGATCTAAAATAAAGTGAAATCTTACCAAATTCCAAGCTCTAAATTAAACAGCAAAGATTTATTGGAAATCAACTTGTGCTTAGCACTGTCCTCATCAAACTGCCCAATAGCTGTCTAGTCGTTTGTCATGTCTGACTTCATGACAAAATTTAAATTCTCATCCATCCTGCAAAACCTAGTTCTAATGCCACTTCATAAAGAAACCTTCTAATTTTGTTCTCCATGACAACCACCCAGGAGTGGTTTCTCTCTTCTCTACAATTTCATAGCACTTTGTGTACCTCTTATCCACTTAGCTTCCTCCTTTTTCTTATGTTCATGTGTCATCTTGACCAGATTTGTAAGAGCAAGGATTGTGTTGTTTTACATCTCTGTATCCCTGCACCTGGTATTGTATCTGGCATAAACACGTTAAATGCACGTTCCTTTTTCCTTAGTTAAAATAACTAACTGTGGAATCTGGGGTGTTATCATTTCTATCAACTTTCTACTAGGGTCCTTTTAATCTTTCATCAATGCTTTTATGAGGTGAAAGCTTTATAAACATTGAATCTTGTTTAATTTCTTGATACCTCTGCATTACTATTAATGTGACTAAATTAATTTTTATAGCGCATTAAGATTTACAAAATGCTTTACCAACAATCCTGTGAGGTAGGCAGTAAAGTATTATCATTAAAAAACAGACTGGGGAAAAAAAAAAGAACTTGAGGCTCATAGACAGTGCTCATCACAGTATTTGAGAGAGTGGAAATTCAAGCTCAGACCTATGTTCAAATCTTGAGCTCTTTTCACTTTGACATACCGCCGCTGAAGCTATTAAATCTGTAACTTCAGAAAAACTTAGTTTGATCTCACAGAAATACAGCAGTGGTAGAGATGCATTTTTACCAACATAACAAGCACCATCTAAATCTTCAAAGAGAAAATATGATTTAAACAAATGATGTAATAGTCTTTCAATAGGTTTTTATGCCTTAATGATAAAGATGATCGTTGAAGATTACCTCCTTTAAAATGGAGACAAAATGTTCCACATACCAACACAAGCACAGCTGAAAGTATCCTAAACTGTGCCTTTTTAGCACTTGTAATCTCCTAAAAGTCTAAATGGGATATAGTACACATGCTCATAAGAATAGGTGAACTTTGCAAGCACAACTTCAATACAGAAAAAATAATTCTTGTCCCCAGACAGGAAAAAAAAAGTACTTCAATACTCTCTACATTGAATATAAAACCTTTGGAGTGCAAGGGGCGGGGGGAGAGCATACATTTGAAAATATTATGATGCTCACAACTTTAGTATACTTCCCAAACACCAAATATTATCCATACCCAGAGTTAACTGTTACATGCCTGGTGGTGAAGCTCCCCTTAGTGGGCTAAGTATCTGGCCTACATATATTCATTTAAGACAGGTGGGATAAAATCAGATTAAGGAATTGTCCAAACTAATTTATCTAAAAAGGGGTTGCCCCGTTCTTGGAAGAGCTCCAGCACATAAGTTTAGAGGAATATTACTTTATATATGTGACTTCACTGCTTGGTTCTGTTAATGTCACTCTTCATTATCCTCTCCAACAACATTGCTCCATCCTTGGCCTCATGAAGAATTTAATGCCATTCCTGAATTTTTAGTAAGCAGAAAAATGAAGCTTTTTAAAAGGGAATCTTTAAAAAAGCTTATGCAATACTTGATGAAAGGGGATACCTCCAAATTCCTCCCATTTTAATTCAGTCTTGAATGAAAAGAAAATATGAGTTGCCTGATCTTAAAATACAAATGGTTACTGATGAACATACAGCTTCTATTTCATATACTTTAGACAACTACAAAGGAAGGTGCGTCTTCAACCAAAATTGTCATTGCAGGATTTAATATGAACAAACCTTTTATTTTTGTAATTTGGAAAACATTTATACTTAGGATTAGACTTGAGAATAGTCACACACAAAGCAATATTGCTTTATTATTTATATTCAACGGCTACTTTGGCTCCATGGAACACCTGTTTCTCACAGCCCAGCCTTTCCCCTTAAGCTCTAAGGAAGCAAGCACTGGGGCCTTGCTATACATTTTCTTTTTGAAGTAACTGAAACAGGAAAACTTACAGTAGATATAGAATACATCAAACTATCATTGCGGATGTGCAGCAGCAGCAGCAGCAGCAGCAGCATGAAGCTGTTCTCTTCTTCAGGGCAATGTGTCTAACCCACATCACCCATTTCACACCATCTCTGTCCCATCCCTGCCCCACCCCCAAACTACTGGCCAGAAGCAGCCAATCACTGGAGCTAGAGAACAATGGCCCTGTTTTCAGTATGCTTATCATTTTCACATAAAGACCAAAAAAGGAGCTAAGGAAAAAACCAAAGGTATGTATTTTAATGTTTAACAACACGACCCACATGAATGCTCCATCAAATTTGCTCTTTAACCAAGGCCCAAATTAAATAACTACTGATATGAGTTTAGAAAATGGATTAATATATTACTTTAAGAAGCCAAAATCCCTTTAGAAATAATATTCAGCATTTCACGCTTAATTTACATACCCATAACTACTAAAAAAACCCAAAACACCCTTATTGCATTCATTTTTCTAATGTACTATTCAAAGTAGGAGTAACATTTTTAATGAAACTCCATATTAACCAATCCTAACGCTAAACTTTAGTACACAGTAGAAGATTCAATACTTAATAACCACATATATAAGTCTTCCTTTGGTTTTAAATATATATGTATGTGTGTATATATATATTTGTACACTTTCAGTTCATACCTGACATTTAAAAAAATATAAAAATCCTAGAGTTGAGCCAGCTTCCATATAGCAACTGAATATGACTATTTTAGTTTTAAATCACCAATTTAATTCTCACAGTACATGATTATTTGCCCAGGACACTTTGGTATAGCAGGACTATATTCAAAAGTTTAAACATGGATTATACATTAACTATTACTTCTTAAAGGCACCTGATTAACTAAAAAACGTTGCCCTCAGTGGTTGATTGCTTTTATTATCCAAATACCCTAACCCTTTCCAGATACAAACTCTATAAATAGGACTTTCTCTGAACTAAGTGGAATTCTTTCCGTCCTAGTTATCTCATATCCGGCACGTATTCCAAAGGAGGGCTATGCTTTCTTAGAACCAAAAACAAGGGATAAGAAAGCCACATCCTTAATGAGCCACTATTTTTACCTTTCCAAGTAAGACTACCCTTTTCAATGACTAAGTAGGTCTTTGGCCTGCAGGCCTCACAAACCGATATTCCAAACTATCATCTCCTAGTATGAATACAGTACCTATTAATTTCTGTACAAAATGCATATTTAACTTACGTAGCACTTGATATTCAGACATTAGCACAGCATCAATTAGTAAACTTTGGTGGTTATTAGAAAGGCAAGGCAATTATCAGTTTACTGCTAAATTTATGAATGTTTTTGGTTTTTAATTTTTTTACTAAAAATCTCAACTTCAGTAGATATTTATTTTAACCTGGATCTAAAGGTTTGAAGATCAACTAAATAACTTTAAATCTTTTCCACACTAGTAGTTCTAGTCTTTGAAGAAAAGCATGTTAGACTTCCAAAGAAAGAGAATGTGTTTATTTTGAACTTCTGTAACTCTAAACAATGTCCTGAAAAAAATCTGTGCTAAATTATCTCAGAAATTGCTTCAAAAACGGACAACTATAAGAAAAACAAAATCTATGTTTTAAATAATTGTTTTAAGTGGTCAAGTCTAATATGAGACTTCCACTTCTAGAAAAGCACATAGCCTAAGAGTGAATTATTTCCCTCTCATGTTTTCCTCTTCTGCCATCTCCCAAGTTTTAAAAATCTGCAAACAGGAACCATGAATCACCACTAATGTCAATGGTATATTCTTAGCACAAAGGGGCTCTGAGAAAATGGATCAAAATATACCATTTCCTCTACATCAATTATCAAAAATTTTTTTTAAAAGGCTACAAAACTTCCTGAATACTCTAAAGGATTTCTATTCTTATATTAGAGTGATGATGTAAACTTAATCAATTCTGAAAGGAATCCATGCAAAGAAAAAAAAAAGCCTTCTTTGCCAGAAGGTACCTATGTTCCACAGTGAAAATCTGGATTAAAAAGAAAGTCATGAACAAGATTTTCCTCCTCCAACTCTTAGTGGATGGGTCCCTTTTGGGGATATTGAGTGTATGTGATGTTGGGGGAGGGCAGGGAGAAACAGTAAAGTGGGAAGAAAAGAAGAGGCTGCTATTGCTTGTATTCAGTCATTTCTCTGGCAGGAATGGATAGCTAGGGCAAGCAGAATATTTGTAACGAAGCTTAAAAATTCCAAACAACTGGAGGGTTAGCTAAGTGTCTTAATGTTCCCAACAAATACACTGAAAATGGAACCTTATAAAACCTGGTGGGGAATGTCAGCTAAACACTGAACTTGATCTTCAGGAGGAGGGTAAAATGCTGACATATTCAATTTGCAGAAAAAGTGTCAGGACAGGAAAAATTCTTAAAGGCAGTGAAAAGTTCTGTCACTTAACGTTAATAGTAGGCATTAATTAGTAAGTTGGAACAGGGAGTCTTCAGTAGATTGATGTTTCTAAGTCCCTTTTAGTGGCAGAACTCAATGATTCTAAGAATATTGGCACTTACATGGTACACCATTAATATGAAAAGAAAAGCATACATATCTTTAACATCTGTGGCTTTGAAAGGACCTAAAATTAACCCATCATGTTTTATTTAACAAATGACAATATTTAAAAGGGCATAACAGTGTTACATTCATTCTTACCTTTTGGATAAATTCTTTGAGCCAGCATGTCATAGAGAAAAATGGGCAGCCTTGGAATCAGGAAGACTTGGGTTCAAGACTTGCCATTGATAGACTGTGTCCTGCCCGGGTTCAAGTCCTGCCTTTGACATACTCACTGGCTTGGCAAACATGGGCAGATCACATAACCTCTCGGTATATCCAGGACTCTAAAACTTAAGTTTGCAGCCTGTGTTTGTGGGAAGAGTTTCCATAACAGAATTCCCTAAGCTGATGAAATCACAGGTTTCAACTTCTCTCCAAAATTCTTTTCATTCCTATATAATTCATTTTAAGCACAACAAAACAACTTTTCTCATATACCTATTTCATTACTATGCAGGCTTTGTGGGGCTTATTTTCCCTGCATTTTTATACCAAGAACTTTTTTTCATTTCTAAATTTACAGAGCCTAAATTTCATTCTAAGATAGATTTATAAAAAAGTTTAGAAACTTCCTTATTGTAAACACTTAAGGACACTAATCACAAACTGCTTGACAAATCTATTACAATGTAGTGCACAATCAAGAACTTCCTTTTTACAAAAATGCATGTTTTGCTAAGTATAAGAGGTGTAATTATGATTTATGTGTGAAAGTGAAAAGGTTGTTAATAGAATTTCGACAATAGCCATTAAAGCTTAGAAGTCAGCTTATAAAGGGCTGAAAAGAACTTTTTTTAGTTAAACCACATTTCAAATTAAATTCAGTTTCTCAAATAATTTTGATTCCTTAAGTGTGTATTTCCTTAGCAGACTGATATAACATCAATGCAAAATAATAAATTTTCATGTAACTATCAGGGAATTTAAAAAAAGCAAAATACCTCAATTTTAATATCTGTATAGCTCATGTTCTAGCTTACGTTCTAATCTTTCTGCAGCCAAACATCCATTTTCATAGTGCTAATAACAGTTTTAATTAATACAACATAACTAATCCAAAACATAGAGGGAATAAAATAGAGGTCTTTGGTTTTAATTTCTTGGTAGTATAGGGTTGGGGAAGGAAACTAGGCAATTATAATCCAAAAAGTTTCCTCTGTGCATATCAGTAAGACAAATTAAAACAGAATCCAATGCACGTAGAGAGAACTTATGGGACAGTATAAATGCTATAAATATAAAACCATAAATTGGGGGGAAAAACCCTATTCTAATCTTCTGATCGATTTTTTTCACATTTTCTTTCATTTATAAACATAATATAAATTTAATACTTAAAAGAATCTGTGGTTTTGTTAGTGTGGGCCCTCCCCATACTGACACAGATCTCAATTCTTCTTTGATCTGACAGGAAGGTCTCAATGAGTTACTGTCGCTGAATTCATCACCATGCAGCCAATCTGGTAAGGAATCTCTGAACTAAGCTTGACTGGTCCTTCGACAATTACGGTTTATTAGAACCATCAAGACTTTCTTAACTTGGGAGGATTTACTTTACAACCTTCTTAAAGGGATAAGATTAAGAACCTAGGGTCATTTTTTGTGCCATGGTGAAGCCTCAAAGTAATTAAGTTTGTAAAAGTTAAAGAGCTCTTAATTTACAGTCTATGGACTAGTACTACGATTAAGCATTTTACAATACAACTTAAGTTTTATAATTAGCTAAAAAAGTTGTAACAAGAAAAAATATATAAAACATTTTAATAATTCTAGTTGTTGTATATACATAACTGCCTAAAAGACACTGAGTTGGAAAAATCAATTATGATTGAGATAGATATCAATGAAAGCAAAAACAAAACTAAGAAACACAGTTAAGTTCAATTGCTATGATACTCTTATTTTACTCTATACCAGGCTGTGTGAAAATCTGGTTTATCAAATAGCTTAGTAACAGCAGCAATGTAGCTTATGAAGTTGTACACTGAAATAGGTCCAATGGGGTGAAGTCCTAGTTTAACTCAGCTTCATTTAATTGGAAATGCTGAACATGCAAATGTTACTACGGGTAGAGAAGTATTTTTGCTATTTAGTAATTGCTTTTTAATCTTTCTAAATTGGAAGACTAGAGATTCCTCAACAAACCTTTTAAACAGAATATATACATATATATATACATATATATGAAAAATCAGTTGAAGAAAAATTAAATAACCTTTAGGCACTTTGAGGACTTATAATTTAAAATGTGCCATTTACATATTAAAAAAACCCCAAACAAACCTCAAATATCACTACATTGCTTTGACAATAACATGCATGTTAAATTTTCCAGTTGTACACTAATGCTTATTTAAAAATTAAATGTAAAAAATACTGTGCACATTCCAAAGAGAGCAATTCTCTCAATTCAGTTTTCCTCATTACTGGTAATGACACAGACCAATGTTCTTCAAAATGGAAGAACACAAAAAAAGCTCACAAGCCCTCACCTGAAACAAAGAGGCTTGAAAATTCAAAGCAACCAAGGTCAGGATCTCCCATTAGGGAGAAAAATTCACAGCCTTAAAATGTCACAGGTTTTCCATGTCTATACAGCCACTATACTTAAAATTATATTGAACATATTACACATTCTCCCCAAAGAGCGAGAAATACAAAAATCACCTATCAGATGGTGTGTTTAACAATAGAAACTGGTTCAAATAAAGCTGAAGTGTTTCTGCTCATCATTGAGCAAGTTCTTAACTTGAATTAAACCTACCAATTTGAATCTCAAACACTGTGTACAACTTTCAAGTTTGTAAGTCCAGGCTTTAATACTATAATTTAAAAATAAAAATATAATCTGTTAAAATTTCCTAATACTACAGAAAACCTAGAAGCACAGAATGATTATATAGATTACTGGAAGATAACCCCTCCCTCCATTTTTTCTGAACACCCTCCTTTTTAATCAAAAAAGAATGCAATTATATTTCTGTTTTGTTCAGTTCAAACTATAGTCTGACAGTTTTTTTCCTATTAATTGAACTGTAAAAAACACCATCAAGCTTGTGCTCATTAAATATATATGTATATATAAAAACATACAAAAAGTACAAGATTGATCACATTAGGGAACTTTTACAGTGTCAAAGTCCTAATTGTTTCTTTTATCCTTAGTAAAGGCCAAATTTTTCTGTGCACAAAATCTTACTGTGACTGAAATTCCTGAATTCAGTGTCATGCTTTGGCATGCCATGCACAGAATTCAATTTTAATGTGCAGTCCTTCAAAAACCAAAACCAAACAAACAAACAAAAAAACCAAACCAAACAAAAAAACCAACCCAAAACACACACACCACAGGACAAAAAGTTCTTCTTAAATCAAATTCTATTTGTGAATTCAGCAAAATAATTTCTATAAAATAAAACAGCAAAATATTTAAATAGTATAGGGTGGGCTGTATCTGTTTTGCAGGGGTATTTGGTTCTTAGACAAGTTCCAAAAAAAAAAAATTACACACATTCAAGTTACCAATTCTCTGTTAAATACAGTATTTACTGATGAGTTTCTTGGAATCTTTAAACAAATAGTTTATTCTGGAATCGCGATACCTCAGAATTGTATTTGACTAACCAGTAGTTTCTTTTATAATCAAACCCCGCTTCTAACGTTTAAGATTTCTTTTATAATGGAAAAAAGAGCTAAGACAATTCTTGTTTTCAAGTAGAATTGTGAATGAGCAGAAAACCAGCAAGTTAACTTGGTGCAGTGGTACTCCCAAGTACTGTGTGATTTTGACTTCCACTTCACTGGGATCCAGCAAAAGGAAAGTGTTAGAAGACTTATCTATTAAGCTCTACCAAAGAAACAAAACAAGCACACCAAATACAGTCTATTATGCTCCAGGCATCCTGGCATAGCAAATTTTTGCATATTTGTTTTAAATCTCTTAAATTCCTATTACTGAAACCTAAGTGTTCTTTATCCCACCCAGAGATAATCTGTTAAACATTAGATGTGAGGAACTTATGTGCAACTGAAAACCACCTGTTTGTCACATTTCTCCCCCCCCCCCGCTCATTTTAATATTTTTATATTCTAGGTGTAAGAAGAAAAGCTCTGAGCAATACAGCTGTCTCTTTGGGACAACTGCTGTCATTATGGTATTTTTTCCTCATTGGCTACACTAACTTGGTGTGAAGCCATGCTAAATGTTACAGCTTAACTATAGCTTCAAAGTGATTAACCTAATACCAGAATGAAAAAGGCAATGAAAAAGAGATCTAGAAACAATGTTACATCACCAATTTTCCACATCAACCAAATAATTAAAAGGTTACCAGCCATTACGTTGCTCATAGTAAAATCGACTCCAGTGGTAAAGAATTAACATGAAACTATTGGTGTGGCTGACATGTATGGGCTCTTTTTTTTTGTTTTTTTGTTTTTTCTGTAAAGGAGTTGATCCAACTGCCATGAGGCAGGCAACATTGGTTGCAGAGTGCAGCGGATAGATCAAGAAATTAATTTTTTTCTGTTTTCGTAGATCTGTGAGTTTCAAGACAAAAAATGTTTCTTGCTTAAGAATTAACAGTCAAACATTAATATACTATATACACCTTTGCCATTTACACATTAGCATCAGGCCATTTATTACAAAACACTATACACTTTCCACTGCAGGCGGGTTATATATTGACAGCAATTTTCTGCAGATAAGACAGTGAATAGACTCTCCACTCCATGTTGATTAGGAATAGTTTTTTTCTAGTTTTAAATATTAGCCAGACACAGAAAAAGGTTGGACTGTAAGGCCTGGGTGCACAGTCTTGATGGAACCAGTTAGTTATGTGCATTTCACTAATCTTTTGTCTGAGGTGGGGAAACTTCTTCATTGCCTTCATAATTTTCTTGTGCTCGTTGGCCAGCTCTCTGAGGGTTGTTCATGTGATGTGCTGCTGGGCCTGTATATGGCTGTCCATGCACATGGTTATTCTAGAGAAAAATAGATATGTACATTGAACTTTACATACATTAAAATTAATTTTAAAACATTTTAAAACGGTAGGCAACATTTTGTTTAAGAGCCTCAATGGGAATAGTTTTCATCTATGCCCTACCACTCACCTTTTAGGCATATTTATGCTGAAGGTAAAAAAGAATGAAATCACAAAGTCACAGTGAATCCAAATCCTAAATTCCACTGTGCTATTTCATGCAAAATAAAAGCAGCAGGATAAAGTATAATGCAACAAAGTTTGGAATAAATACTATAAAAAGAAATAACTATCTACAGTAATGATCTTCATTTTAGCATCATTTAAGTTATACAACTTTGCCATATATCTTTCTATGAAGGATATAATTTCATAGTGAAATAACCACCTCAAAGATGCTCCCACAGAACTGTTAGATGGGAAACGTTTTTGTTGTCATATTATCCAGTGACCAAACCTATTTCTGTAATGTCAGGAAAATAAGAATTGTGTATGTTAAGCAGTGAAAATGCCTTTTACTGTGAGGAAATAAACACCATTTGTGTAAATGGATTAGTCTGTGAGCTTGTGATAAAATGTGGCTTCATTCTCACAGGAAAGGCCAAAGCATTTAAGAGTCTCACATCACTTACCAACTGCTCTGCTGAGAACATCAGTAAAGAGAGCAAGATGAAGGAAAACAGGGTGGTGGGAGAGGAAATTAAGTTAGCAGATTAAGGATAAAATGATTTGGAAGTAGGGAAAAGAAAAATCCTGGTTTCTTTGCAACCCATTAAATTTAGGAACAGTCAAATTAAAATCCTTATAGCAAAACTAATTAGGTTTAAGAGATTTAATTCATAATATATTTTCATTTCTTATAGGTATGAAATAACAAAACAAGCTGCCATCAAGACAGATGCCAGATCCTGCCCTTAAAAATGTATCATGAGGATATGATTTTGCTGTATTTAGTTAAAGCACACATGGTGAGCAATTGTTGTATATGTTATATAATATATATTTTAAATTAATTACTCAGAAAATATCAATTATAACAAGCAATGGATAAGATTCTGTTAGATAATAAAAGTAATCTCTGATGTGCTCTAACATCTTTGGCCCACTAATCAGTAAAACTTAAGAAAAGAGCTGAGTCACTCATCCAAAAGAGTCATTTTAGTTATTTGTCTTTTAAAAGGTGACCAACAGACTATAATAAATGAAGAGTAAAGTGTAGAGCCTAGGCATGATTGGGATGAGTCTACAAGGTCTGTATCAAGGAAATCAGTTTATAGGCAGGAAACAAGACTAGAATAGGCAGGAGACAAGTATCATTAGCCAAAATCCAAATTCTTATAAATTACATTTAAACAATAGGGAAGAAAGAAACACCAAAATGTGGTAGAAAGTGTATTACAAGAGGAGTAAGGATACTGAATTCAAGGCTTGCTTTACTACTGAGGATATGTGATCAGAAGTAAGGTCATTTAATCTAAGTTTCAACTTTGTCACTTGTAAAATGAAGGGACTGGACTAGGTGATCTCTTAAGTCACCTTCTACACCTAAAAGCCTGTGGTTCTAGGTCCAGGTAGGTGATTTTTATCAGCTTTGGGGAAAGTTAGCAATGGTTAATGGTGGTTCAGGAAGGGGATGAAATCTATTGGTATTTCCCCTGAGAGACTTGGAATCGGAGTGGAATAATGCTGCTTGCCTTCTGAACTGGGGCTCCTTAGATCCTCTTGCCCAGGACAGGGTTAATTCCAGAATATGGAACTGAGCTAAACTTGTAGGTGCAGACTAAAAAACTTGTCTCAACACAGAATCCATTTGTTTTCCTTTAAAAATTTTTATGTACACTCTCTTGTGTCTCATGCATGTGGATATTTTCTAAGGTAGAGTTTGATCCTTTATTTCTATGATCATGACTATTATCACTGATCACTATTTTCTCAATGCATTTCTGTCCAGCTTTCTAAGAGGCACTGTGACACAGTGAACAGAGGGCTGGTCTTGAGGCCGAAAGCCCCAAGTTCAAGTCTTGACTTTGACAAAGACTCTTTGTGTGATCTGGAGCTGACTACTTAACCTCTCAGTGTGTCATCAAATAACACCACAAATTTCAGTGAAAGCCTGAGTGTCAATTTGCATTAGTAGAACGTTTCTTCAGCAGGGAGACTCCCATACCAATTAAATCACACATCTCCCTTGAAAGGTCAGAAAAAAATGTCTATCTCTGCTCATCAACCAAGCTTTAATACAAAACCTTCATCGAAGCCTTCTTTTATGTCCAAGCTTCCTTTCAGAATGAGTCCATTTCCTTATCTAAAGTTTAAATATACCATAATTCTCACAATCTATCTGAACAAATAGTCTCTAAGTGACTGAATACTTTTATCATGGCTGGATGACTACTTCATGCATCAAGAACATTTAAAATCTTTCACGAAGACCCATGCCCTTTGCTTTTGGCAATTACTTCATACCTATATTGTTCCTTTTTGCAGTGCAAAGTATTTCATTTGCACTTCACAAAAAATGTTACATTTTTGCTCTAAGTAACCATCACTTGTTTATATGTTGACATGAAACAACATACACTTCTATTCACAGCCATTAGCACAAGACTAACTGGCCAACCTGGAAAGCACTGCTGGCTGCGAGCTGAAATACGTCCCTGTCATGCTCATTCTTCCTCTGCTTCCAAAAGTCACACAAGAAAACCAGTCTCATTACTTTACAGTCACACCTTGTATCAACAGAATTAGAACAAATTTAGTCATTCTAGAAATGGATACTTAGTGGTGTTTGAGAAAAAAGCAAAAGCAAATTCTTATTTTACCTGCTGATACTGAGATCCAGGTGAATGGGGATATAATGGGGCATCTTCTGGTGGAGATGATTCATGTTCATCTGGGGCATCTTGGTCATCTGGTTCCTAGGTGGACATATTTAAAAAGAAGCAGAACTTGATTTTCCAGGCAAATTCAAATTTTAAAATTTCATAGATAAGCTTCATTTTTGGCTACAGGTAGCCCTGCTATAATGTGTGTTTTGAAAACAGATATTTGTTCCAACACAATTGTAATACCAGAGGGTATTTTGAGCATAATGTGAATTTCAAGTTTCTTTCAAAAGAAACAGTGAGAGACTCAGAAAAAATCCCTACTTTACCATAATTCACAAGCTACAATCCTCTTGTCTCCCACTTTCACAAGCAAACCTTAGGTTTTTGTCAAGGTAAAGTGCCATATTTATTGTACATCTTCTAGGGTGTCAGAACTGTAAGTGGAGGAGAAGGGCTGGTCCTCATCGCCCCTCCCTCCCTTCTGATATGGCCTCTGTCCTGCTGGCACCGAGGCTTGCAGTTGCTGCCCAACTTGCTCAGAGCAGGCCCAATAGCAGCTCAAGGTCAAGCATGAGACCACTATTTGTAGTAGCAATTTTATATTTCTTAATAATTTAAAATGTATAAAATTGTGCTACACTCTTCATTGGGTTCCCATCTTTTCTTTTTTCAATGAGTCACTGACAAAAGTTTTTGAGTTTTGTATCCCTAGCCCCACTTCCCCCATAAACTCTGGTTTTTCCTTAGAGAGTTTGTATAGTGTAGTGTTTTTTGGGAACATATATGTTGAGTCATAGCAGAACTCCCTGAATTTAAAGTCTAAAGTAGACTTAATGACTTTTCTTTACTAATTTTTGTTTGTTTATAGTACTTCTAGCAGTTTTTGTTCAAGGAAGGCATATACGAAGTACTTTTAAAAATGAAAATTTCACCTCAGATTTGTTTCATGGCATAATAAAAAATTATCTTGATTTCCACCCTGCCTCCCCCCCATTTGTTGAAAAATGCAATTTTAACCTTTTTTACCTCCTCTGGACAGAGTTCACAAGCTTTTGCAAGGGTCATCCGGGCACTATGTGATCTCTCCAAAAAGTAACCATTTGATGTTTCATTGCTTTGTACTGGAGGAGACCAGTTGTTGTACGTATACTGAGGGTTGCCAGTATATGGCCGTCGTTCAAGTTCATCTCCAAGCCATTCCACCGCCCAGGTCCACTTTCTTTTCAGATCTCCATTACTCTTTAAAATAAATCAGACACGTGTTGTGAAAAAAAGAATTCTTTATAACACCACTACCTTTCAAATGATATTTTTAAGAGATTATAGGATCTTGTGAAATCTAAGTATCTTCTTTCCCCCCAATAACTACCTACAGTGGCACTGTAGGGTTTTAGGAATTTAATGTACTCAAAGAATTTAAGCTTCATTAGTGAGAAAGATTTGACACATAAACAAATTAGTTGTTAAGATAAGGAAGCCCAGTACTAGATAGCAATCTTCATAAGGTCAAGTAACATTTTATCAAAACTTTCTATCTCCCCCAGCAAATTTCATTTTTGACTGTTTTAAAGTCTATTAAAAGTATACATAATAAAATTTCTACTTCTTTTAATTTTCATTTGTCTGTCTTCTAGGGATAAAAATCATTGCTTCAACAATGCCAAAGTTGTCTCCATATTTTGTTTCCAATGATATGATTTCCATATTTTTGTCTCTGACAAGAGTGAGCTGAGAACCATGACTTCCTTGATTTTCTAAATGTAAAGGTTCTTGGAAGAATCAACTTTATTTGTTTTAAAATGTGTAAGAGAAACAAGTGTTTTGGTTATTAGTTTCAAATGCTAACACTAGTTAACATGAGGCATTCTCTTTATACTTTTTTTTGTCCAGGCCAATCTGCAAAAGTGCATTTATACCAAATAAGTTAAACAGGACAAGAAGGGATTCATTTCTTCTATAACTTTTCTACAAATGGTACACATCATGCCTAATTTCTACCAGCCAACTTGCACATGTAAGAAAACCAGGAACAAATCTTAAATGAATTGTGCTGACGTCAAGGTCATCTTTCTTTATAAGCTTTAGGTCACCCTGAAAGTCAACAGTGAACAAGAATAGAAGTTAAGCCTCAACCTCAATCCAATCACCTAAGAACTGATTTTTTAGCATCTTTCCAACTGTGACTGAGTTCATTAAACCAGAAAAAACACTCTGTGCAGACAGGGGAAAAGAAGGAGAATCCAGGAGTCACAGGTGTTCAAGGCAACAAATTTACAAGAAAATTCTCACCTGTAGGATTTGGTAGGCTACAGAGCAGTTACTAAAGAGAGCTACCATACATTTTATACACTGATAAGCTCTCTTCTGATAATGATTTTTAGAGCGCTGAATTGTATCAAATAGTCCATCCCGATCATCTGGTATTCCTTTAAGTGCATTATGAATTCTGAAAAGAAAGAGTCAAGAATCAAGTTCTCAAACTGATTAAAAAAAAACATGCTAGTCAAATGTATGAAAAAATTTAAAGATGTAACCAAATTATTTTGCCGTAATTTCGTAGGTGGGCTAAAGCACACTTACAATGATTTGTGTGCAGAAAGCAGGATAAAGTATTATTTAGGCAATATGTGATCAGAAAAGGAGGTCGGTTGGTCACATAAGTAGAGTTAAGGGACAAAAAAAAAAAACAAACAAAAGGACAGCTGAGGGGTGGGGAACCTGTGGCCCAAGAGATGCACTTACCCATGAAATGATTTTTTAAGTTACTCATTTGATATTTTTTGTGTTTATATCACCTTCATTTCTGAATGCAGCCCTTCCTCCTTGCCTACCCAGTGATCTGTGCCTTATGCAAATGAACAAAATAAGCTTCCCTGCTGTTCCTTAGACATTATATTCCATACCCTACTCTGAGTGTTTTATTCTCTCTCACACTTGGTCATATTTGTAAATAGTTGCTTGCATGTTGTCTCCCCAGTTAGAGCTTCTTAAGGGCAGGGACTGTTTTTTTCTTTTTTTTGTTTGTTTTTTAATTTAAATTTTTTTGTATCTCCAGTGCTTAGTACAATGAGGGACACAGTCGTTACTTAATAAATGCTGGCTAGTTGGGGGAAAAACAGCAAAATTAATCAACGACTGAGGCTGACTGTAGATTAACTTTTTCCTCTCCTTCTTACTTTGGCCAAGAAGGGAAGGAAGGACATTCTCATCTTTTCTTCTTGACTAAGCTTAGAAATTATAATTTTACAACCTTCAGTTTCCTATTTTTCAGTTCCTTTCTTTCATTTATGCTATTGTAGCCATTGATACCCCCCGAATATAAAAAGACCTAAAGAAGTCCTTCAGCACTTGATGTAAGTAATGCAGGAAGAATTTATGTGACGACATGGAAAAGATCTGACACGAATAAAACAGGATGATGTGTGGACATGTGATCTGCATTGCTGTAGACAATACTGACACTGATGTAATCACAGAGCCCAAACAAGTATACATAGATATTAAAGTAATAACTAAAACTGGTTTAATCATGTCTCCTCTACCTTGAACTACACTGTTTTTCCATTTTCTCATCAACTTAGACCTGCACAACTCAATTTATCCTATCCTACTTTATCCTATTTGTAGCTCACCAAACCATTCCCTCTTATTCAAGAAACTGTTGCCCACTGTGGAAAATCTAAACTCATCTGTTTTGTCTTTTTCATATTGTCAGTGGTCTCACTAATTCTTAATTCCTTTCTGTTTCAAAGACAAGGAAATATGCTTTTTTTCTGAAATGCGTAATTTGCTCATAACAGCCCCATACTACATTGACATTGTACTTGCTAAGCACTTGTTCATATGTACTTATAGTACAAATGCATGTGTATCACCTAAACTGGACTGTAGGGGTTATTATTTCTTTAGTACTTCCCATTCCAAAAGCATAGTGTTAATGTTTTACACTCAGGTGTTCAATAGCAGGGTGCCAAATAAATACATTTCAATAAACCAAATAGGTTCTATTCAGTTCTAAAAATTCTTTTACAACATTATCATCTCAGCCAACTACTTTAAAATCTTATTATTACAAATACATATGTGGCTAAGATCTATAATACAGTAAGAAAAATATACCAATTAGCAATAGCTCAGAAGAATATAAAACATTCAACAAATAGCTTACAATGGGTGCTTTGTTAATGTTTTTTTGTGATATTTACTAAAAAAAATTTAGTATAATTTAGCCCCAGATTATGTACATAATCATAAGGCACTTACTATCATCACCATTATCATAATTTTTAAAATGGCTAATACTTGGATTGGATGGCCTAATATAAGTAGAAGACTATTGTAATGCTACTGACTAAAAGGGGCAGAAACATCCATGTGGCAAATGAAGAATGCATATGCTTTTCGCAAAGAGAAAAAACAAAGTCAAAATATATTGGAATTCCCCAAGGAAAATCCAATATTTTTTTCTTCTACTGCAGTCTGTATTGAGTACTGCTTAAAATAAGTGGATTGTGACCTGATGACAAAGAAAATTTTTTTTACTACACTGGTGTTTAGTAACAGAACCTGATCTATACAATAAATTAGTTATTGTAAAATCTGTGACAAATTGAAAACACTCAAATGCCTAATTCAAAACACTGAAGTAATTTTAATTTCTTTCAGCATTTAATTCTCTAAAAATCTTATTTTTATTGATCCTTTTTACATCCTATTTGTTTCAAATTATATCCCTTTCCTTTGTTCTACCCATTGGGCCCATCCCCTTTAACAAAGACTTTTTTTTAAAGAAAGAAAAGTAGTGTAGTCAAACTAATCAACACCTGGTCTATCTCTGTCCGACAGCACATGCAGTATTCCACAGACATATAGGTCCCCACCTCTACAATGAAAGATGCATTTTCTAAACTCTTCACTGGAGCCAAGCCTGGTCATCATAATTATGTAAAGGCCAAGGTCTCCCACTGCATCCTGGGCCATTTCCAGTTGTCCTAATCCATATCTGGCCATTGAACCCAGATGGCTCCAGAGGAGAAAGTGAGGCTGGTGACCTTGCACAGCCCTCCCCAACTTAAATCCAATTTACTTGCATGTCATGGCATCACCTCCCTGATGTCATGGTCCTCTTCAAGAATGAAGGACAAAAAACCCAGCAAGCAGCAGAAAGGTAGTGTTCAGTTTTCTTATTTTTCTGCATTTAGTTTTCAAAAAGACTAACCAAATTGATGAAACGCTAAAGTTTCCTTTTCAAATTTCTGCTTTTTTTGTTGGATTGGTCAAGAGAGTAACATATATTTAAAAGCATTTTCTAAAATAAATACAATATTATACATTATTATAAAATACCATAATACACATTCCAATGAATTCACATTTTATGACATAATAAACAGCTATGAAGAGAGCAAGAAAATGGAACCTGGAAGAACTGGGAGAATTAATTCTTCAATGTGCCATGTTACTGATTACAGGACTCTTTAAATACTTCCCAGAATCCTAAAACTTACTCCAAATGCCAATTTCTGGTTGACACCTGTCATTATCAACTCAAAACTTTTAAGTCCATGAAGAAGAACTTAGGAAGACGTTCCATGACCATGAGAAATGCTTGTGTATTCCATTATAACAACTTATGGAACCAAACAATTAGGCATTCATGCACCAAGGTGATATTTTTAGGTATCTACATGGGTAAAAGTAAATGATTAATTTCAAGACTGATATAATGTAACCCTGACAGAACTTTATAATATTTTTAATGTATCTTGATGCCTTCTCTGATTCTTCACTATCCCTGTTCTCTGTCTTAATAGGATATAGTATATATTGTACCCCCAGTAGACTAGAAGTTCCTTAGGAGCAGGTACTGTTTTATCTTTGTATGTTTAGTAAATGTGGAACTGAACATCAAGTAACTATCAAATAGCTATTAATTTCCCAATTAAGCAAGATAGATATGAGAAAATTGATCCTTATATTTTTAGAAAGTTAAAGAAAATTGGAGTAACATGAAATCAGAAATGATATACAAAAAGTTCTTGGAAAAATTATCATTAAAACTAACAAAATATTTAACATTCAACAAAAAAATTTAAGGCAAAGATGGAAATCTGTTCACTAACAGTGCTTCTGGCCATGTTCTTGAAAACGGAGACATTATTTCTATCAACTGCAAAGAGAGAAAGATAAGTACTAACCTGTGTGTCTGCCAGGAGTCCTCAATTAATAAGATTTGCAAAAGGAGATCCAAATAAGGTCGGAGTTCATAGGTATATGAATAGGCAACCTTTAAAGAAAATAAGATGTGGTGATTTTTTCTGTTTAACAGTGTAACCAATTAGAAGATACATACACATATAAGTTTTATTTTTAACCTGCCAAAGTAGTTCACTGAGGACTGTAGAAGAGAACTGAGGATTCTCCCAACAGCAAAAACGAAGCAATTTGATGGTTTCCTCTGAGTTACTGCAGTCTTCAATAATTTTCTTCACATAACTTGTTCTCACAAACAAAATATCTGCCACATTCTGCTGAAGTGCCATTATAGGTTGAGATAAATTAGGATCACCATAAGGGTTGGAAAGAGGGGGATTACCTAGAACAGAGTTATTAACTGATGAAAAACCGACCATTTTCTCCATGGTGACAGAACAACAAGGCTATCAACAAAGTAAACAACTTAAATCACTAAAATAGTCCTTCCTATCCCTTGGTGGGAAAACTTAACATTTATTAATTAATGAGCTGACATGGCTTCTCTAAGAGTATGAATAATTATTTTTGGCTGTATCTTAGAAACTGCAGCACAGTGAGGGTAGGATATAAGTTAAAAGATTTGCTTGGTGAGTTTGCCAGCATTATGGAAAAGTAACATTCTTCAGATCAACCAAAACTAATATTTATAAAATGTATTTCATGCATTTAAGTTTATTTTTAATTTAATAATAATGTGAACTCAGACCTTAAGTAATGGTGATAAATAAATGATTCTGATCCAATTCCAAAATAAACCACCTGATAATCAAGCTGTCAACTTCAAAAAAATAAAGGACTCTTCTAAATGCTTTTAAAAGTTCCAAATCCCAGAAAAAAAAAAACACCCTACAAATTTACCAAAGTATACTTTTTGAATACTGAAAAATACAATTTTGGAGAGCTTCTGAGCCAGTTTCTTTATGGTATATCTACTGAGTACCTTTATATGGCAACAATTCATGAAATCATCACTAAAGTACAGAGTAGTGTCAATATGCATTAGTGGTGGGAATAGTCACAATAAAGAAGTCAAAAGTCTTTTGGAGTATTTATTTACTAAGTGGTTACTATGGAAAGTAGCACTATTATGGTAAATAAAATATTTAAAGTGATTTTTAAGAATGATGCAACTTACCATTAATTGAAGACTGCATCCGGGATGATACATTGCAACAACGGATCAGCTGTGATACTACAGTATATAATTTGCCTAGCTCGGCATACTGATATTTGATGGGTGGCCCTGGTCCTTCATCCAGAGCGACAAGCATAAATGTGGCAGGTACGCTCAGTTTCAAAAGCTGTGTTTTTTCTGCCATACCTGTAGAGTAGGAGGAAAACACATAAGACAGGAGGTGAGGGGATCAAGCGATAAGACTGCGTGTAAGAAAATTAATTATTTAGTAGAACTTCGCTGAAATTTTTATGCTCTAGGTCCATTCCTTTGTTGTTGTTCAGTCATTTCAGTTGTCTCTGACTCTTTGTGACACCGTTTTGGGTTTTCTTGGCAAAGATACTGCAGTGGTTTGAAATTTCCTTCTCTAGCTCATTTTACAGATGAGGAACTGAGACAAACAGGGTTAAGTGACTTGCCCAAGGTCACACAGCTAGTATGTGTCTGAGGCCACATTTGAACTCAGGAAAACTCCAGGCCTGGCACTTCATTCACTGCACCACCTAGATACCTAGGTCCATTCCTTAGCATCTTCAAACAGAGTAAGTTATTTCACTAAAACCATTATCACCTCAATTGGATACTCACAGAAATCCTGTGAGGTAAGCAGAGCAGTCAAAATATTTTACATATATGGGGACAAAGACTATGGAGTGACTGGCTCAATGCCACACAACTCATAAATAGCAGAGGTAGGAATGTAATCCAGGCTTTTTGACTCTTGGAATGCAGTGTCTGTCACTGAACTAAACTGCCTCCATAAACATGACATTTACCTTGGAGCAGTAAGAGCAATATCTTTCAGGGTTCTAGCCATGCAGGCAAGGCTCATGTTTTTCCCTAAAAGGATGAGAAGTGAGTAGACAGCCAGAGATAGCAGTGTCACTCTCACAGCCTCGTAGCACAGGCCCTTGTGCGCTTGCTTTCTCTCTCTCTCTCTCTCTCTCACTCTCTCTCTGTCTCTATTTTATATATATATATATATATATATCACAAGAGGCAGATGGAAGAGAGCTTTTCAATGGCACAGAGAGGGGGTCCACAATGACT